ACATAGTAGCACCTCCCATGTATATCAATCAAGTTGGTTGGTCTTAGGGAAACTTGTATAGATTCTTGTAAATTAAATTTCAGTATAGACATTTTCCAAGTCTACATAGACAAATTAGATTGTATTTTCTAATTGTTACTGCCAGGGACTGAACAGAATTTCTTCCCTTTTTCTGACCTACTATTTGCTTTTTAAAATAAAATATTATAATATAAATATTAAATATATATATATTAATATATATAATTAAATATATATTTATAAATATATATATTTAAGAGTTGTTTTAGCTCTAGAGCATTGAACATTGAAGATTGCTATTTAAACTGAGAACTGGCTGAGACACAAGTTAAGTCAGTTTGGATCAGAGGTCAGGAACTGGGGGAGCCCTGGGATACCTCTGTAAGCCTGGGAATGAACTACACTTGGAGCCCAGAGGTTTTGGCTATGGAGAGCTGTTTGACACAGGAGGCCCAGCAATGTTTACCCACTCTCAATCTGTTTGCAAAACAAAGTGTAGGGAGGATACCATGAGGAATGAGGAGAGGAAGAGAAAGAGTATTACTAAAAACAATGCCAGACTTGGAATTTTGTCCAGAGAAGTTAATGTTCATGTGCATAAACAACATTGAATATCTACTAGGTGGTTGGTTAGAGGTCACAAAATGATCTTGTGAACTACATTGGACTAGAATTCAGGTTTTTTTTTTCTTAATGATTAAAAAATAGTAATGTCTAAACATTAAAAAATGAACATTCAAAAACTGAGAAATTCAAATTACAGTTTGTATTTATAGTCTCTCTGGACATCAAGCAGCCCTTGACCATCATCCCCACGTGGTAGTGATAGGTGCTGAGTGGCCTGTTGAGACAGAGCATGGGTGATGCTCATTTATGTTCTTTATCTGTCCTGTGTCAACATTGGAATTTACTTACTTCAATGCTAAGTGCTTTTAATATATTACCTAATTTAACTTTCATTCATAACCTAGTGATGGTGATATCATTCTTATTTCATGCATGAGCAAACTGAGACTCAAGATATATTAAATACCTTGACTAGAAAGTTAGGAAGTAGCAGAATTAGGATTTGAATTCAGGATGGCAAACTCTCAAATGCTCCTTCTGGTTTATATATCTATATCTATATCTGGTATATATAATCTATAAAGGATATACATATATATATATGTATATCCTTTACTATAAATTTTCATAATTGCTTGTAGTAAATCTCAATTTTGCTTTTTAAATTTTTCTTTTTATATTTAAAATTGGGCTATTCTAAAGCTGTATGTATTAGACTTCTACTGCTGCTGTAACAAATTGCCACACATTTAATGGCTTAAAATAACACAACTTTCTTTTCTTTTAGCTCTGAAAACCAGAAGTCCAAAATGCACCCTGTGTTCCTTCTGGAAACTTCAGGAGAGATTCCATTTCTCTATCTTTTCTGGCTTCTAGAGGTTACTTGTCTTGCTCCATTTGTAGCCCTTTCTTTCACCCCTAGAATGCATGGATCCAACCCATGCTTTCATTGTTCCATCTCTTTCTTCTGCCTCTGGCCCTCTTGTTTTTCTTTCATAAGGAGACTTGATTACACTGGGATACCTTGAAAACCCAGGATAATCTTCCCATCTCAGGAACCTTAATAACATAAGAAAAAATTTCCATCCAAAGTAACAGATTAATAGGTTTGGGGGATTAGAATGTGGTTTTTGGGTGGCTATTATTAAGTCTACCACAGCACACTTGTATAAGCTCTCAACTTTGCCCCCTTTTCACATGAATAAGTTCACTTTATCACATTATAGACCTTTATTAGGTAAATCATTTATATATTCTTAAAGGGTACCAAAATGTTTGTTTAAAGAAGCATTTAAGGTAATATACATGAAGTAGAAGCCTAAGAGAGATAATTGCAATCCAAAGAGGACATTAGTAAGTTATCTTTATTTGAATCCAAAATGTGTTGCGTTCTTCATTTCCATGGCAGATATAAATTAACCATGCTCTGAAGAAGATAAGAGTTCTATAATCAGAAATCCACATCTGCAGATTTTGTGACATTGCACCTGCATGTTTTGAAGTGAAGAACATAAAAATACCAAGCAATATATCAGAAGCTATCTTTAAACACTAATAATTTTGCTTTTTCAAGACAAAATATCTTAAATATAACTTATTCCTCTTACAGTCTTTCAAGATATGCTAAGTCTGCAGATTAAAAAGAAAAAAAAAGATTTTTCCCTTCTCACTCAAATAGCTCCTCTGTCAAATGAAACTTTCACAAAAGAGATTTTTTTTATCAGCTATGAAAAATTTAAGYTTACAAATACACTTTGAAAAAGTGTAACAAGGATCAGAATAAACTTGTCATCCCAGAGATGTGATCCTTAGTCTTAAGCCATTTTGTATTTTTCTGTGTGAAGAACTGTAATTTTGAAAGCATCACTTTTATTAACTCACAATAAACCAGAATTGTAGTTTAATTATCTCAATAATTCTATGTGTGTGTGTGTGTGTGTGTGTGTGTGTGTGTTTTGCTTCCCTTGACTCAGATCTGTAGTGTTTTTTCCTCAATACTTCTGTTTGTTAATCGCATTTCAGTGTATGTAATGAAGAATGTTGTGTGATCTACAGAAGGGTCTTCATCCCCTTTGAAAATATTTTGAGAATTGAAGAATGCATTGTCTTTAGTTGTTGATAAAGAAAAGCAAATCCACACTTTCACTCTATCCTCTTACTATTTGAGGAGTTACTTTATGTGGGTTTTTTTTTTTTAACAGAGGTGGAGCTTATGATTCTTACATGCTTTCCTCTTTCATTGACACATCATACTAAATATTTTAAATCAGATCATCTAACAATTCAACAGCCACAGTTAAGCCATCAATAAGGAAGTAATTTGACATTGCATTCATATTGAAAAGCATAATACAGCATTTCCTTTTTTAAACTTAAATTTCCTTCTCAGGTAAATGAATGCTAACTATTATTATGAGATACTGCCTTCCTGTTTTTTTTTTTTTGGCTGAGATGAAAGTACAGAAGAAAGTTAGTATAAAAATATCTAATCTGTAGAAGAACAAGAAAGTATTCTTTATATTCTAATGTGCATAATAATACAGAACATCAAAAGAAGTATATAAATAAATAAACTCAAGGAAACTAAAGTGAATTTTTTTCCTTAGTTGTTTTGTTTAAAAAGTATATTGCTAAATGTAGACAAAGATGAGTTATAAAAATTAATTTGAAAAAAATCAATATCTTTATAATGTTATAAAGATGTTCCTACTGGGAATATCTTATTTCCTTCCAATGATTTAAGTTTACCATTTATCTGTCAAATTTGGTTGTTTTCTTCATATACATTCTTTTCTCTTAAATAGGARCAGTTACATTTAATTTAGTGTGGCCATTTTTTCAGAGTACTGCTTTTGATTGAGGGGATATTCMTTGACAGGAATGAACTTATTTACAACCTTTCTTGTGATTCGTTCCTTTTTTTCTTTTAAAATTTATTTCTATGTTTATCTACTTATTTAGTGGTGCTGGAGGTTGAACCCAGGGCATTGTTCATGCTAGGCAAGTGCTCTACCACAGAGCTACACCCCCTGTCTTGTGATTCATTTCTTTATTTACAATCTTGCTTGTAATTTTATGTATTTCTTATTTTTTTCTTCTTAGAGATGAGAAGTTTTGACTAATAAAAACTGAATTATGCTTTAGTTCAAATATTTGTTTTAAGCACAAATAGAAAGTCATTAAAAACCATTATACACAGGAGTTGTCTAGTGGATGAAAAACAAAACATTTGTTCTAGTTTTATGGCAATAATTTTATGTCTCCACATTTCTCAATGGCATTTTCTGTTCTAGTGATTCTATCATTTTGGGGTTTTCTTAGTTAGAATGTACTATTTACATGTGAGAGGAGGAGAAAGGGCTAGAAAGAAGTGCTGAGATTAGTTTGCATTAGGACTTATACAGTCAGGTAAAAGGATTTAGACTTTGTCTTATATACAGCATGGAGGCACTTAAGGTTCTCGAGTRGAGGTATGGGGTCAAACTCCTGGCTAATGGAAAGTAATATATAAATAATGTATACTATTTATCCAGTACTGGGCTGGATAAAAAGGGGAGACATTGGGTACAATAAAGTCCTAAGTAGAAATGACCAGTTAGCCCAGGAGTGGTGTAGGCGTGTAAGGCCTAAACCAGGATGGGATTGCTAAGGAAGCAAGTGTAAGGCCYAAACCAGGATGGGATTGCTAAGGAAGCAAGTGGGTCATTATGAAAGGCGATTTGGTGACTATTCCCCTTACAGGACTCCTAGGTAGAAGAATGGAACATGAGTGAGAATGGAAGATTTTAAAAATATTAGTACCAGAAAAGGAAGTAAACCAGGAGAGGGAGCTTATTTGAATGAGAAGATAAGGAATTCAATTTTAAATATGCTTTMTTTAGGACCATAGAGGTATTTATGGAAAATATTGGACTAGGTTTTWAAAAAATTGCTCTGATATGAATTCAGAATTATTCACGTAGAGATGAGATTTCTAACATAGAGAACTGATGAGTGATAGGAGCAGAAGTGTGAGCACTGAACCTTTCAACATGCACAACCCACATCTGCTTTAATGTCTTTATAACCCTTATCATTGCCTGAAATTACATTGTTTATGATGTGCTTGCTTKTCTATGATCAATTTCATTTTCTCTAGAATACAAGTTCCATGTTAGCACAGACTTGATCTATATTATACACCACCACATCACCAGTGAATGGAATGGAACCTTTTCACGCTAGGCCATAAAAAAGCATCCAGTGAATGCATGGATGAGTGACTGAATGAAGAAATAACAATTTTGTGACTATTTAGCTCTTCAACCCTAGATTATTCACCTGGTCAAGGACAAATGTTTCATCACAACTCRTTTCAGGAAAATATGCATTTCACTGTTTTTTTTTCTTTTCCCTATAGATTTCATTCTGACCTTGTGTTTTGGTGTGTGGCTCTTCAGATGTGATTGGAGTCCTCTTAGTTTTCAGAGACGTTTCTTCATTTTTGTTTTCTTCCTTTAAGAAACAAAATAGAGATTATAATGTGAATAATTTACATAAAAATGAAGTTGAATGTAAGATGCAACAATTTCTTCTYTCAATTATCAATTTACTCTTTAAAATTTAGCATTTGCTTATAACATACTAAAAGTAATGTTTCTTGCACTTAAATGGACATGCTTGGCCCTAGTATTGAGTAATCAACTTTGACCCCTACAGTGTTTTTAGCTTGGAAACTCTGATTTTGTCAGTGTCTCCCTGGCTCATGTTCCTCCCAATCCTGGTCTTCACTTCACACAACCCTAGTGTTGGTCCCAGTCGAGGTCTTTAGTGGTAGAGTTTAAAATGGTGGAGAGAAGAAGCTGGTTTCATCCCTTCATTTATAACTCTCTGCTTTCCCTTTATGATTTCATTTTGCCTCTACCGCAACATTTGTCTGAGGAACAGAGTGAAATATCAACTCAAAGCACAGAAKGGTTGGATCTCAAGCTATGTGTTGTCTAGTAGGGGAAAACACACCCAAACAGGTAAGTGCAATACAATGTAGGTGATAAGATGATATCTGATGAGGACAGAAATGCATAAAAAAATAGAGTGGTCAATTCTAATGGAGTAAAAGGGTAAGGAAGCAGAAAGTTAAGTAGTCACTGATTTTATGAAGATGAGTTTTTTTTTTTCAGGTGGACAAGACATGGAACACATATATTTTAGGTAGATGTGTTGTTAATGTAGAGGGTGGAGAGATATTATAGTGGAAGTGTTTCAATTAGGAAAAGTGTGAGATTTGGGGGTTAGAAAATCAGCAGGGACAAGGATCCTGATATTCTTGTATGCTGATATGTAGTTCTTGATATTATTTATGGATACTTGTCATAAAAATATTTTAAGCTGAAAAGTAAATTAATCAAATGATTTAAGTCTCACAGTAACCATATGTAGTAGTCAAGACAGCCATTGTTATTATGATGGTTTTCCATAGAAAACTGAATGGCTAGTTCATATGAATGTGGCTAGAAGGCAAGAATTCAGGAGAACTTATGAATAATGACAAAACCTTTTGACTTCAATCAAGTACTTTTGCACCATGTTAGGATGTTATTCAAAAACAATTCTGTCATAGTTTTTATATGTTGTATAAATGTAGATTTATGTGAAAATTGGCTTTTTATTAAGTAAGAGAGTTTGTATTAGTCTCTCATTTGCAGTTCTTTTATTATTGGTTATTGGTAAGTAGGAATTACTTATGATCTTTTGGTTTATGAATGAACTTTTTACCTGACACTTTAAAAACAGTATAATTGATTTATTTATTCTTAGATATCTCCTTAAATGAGTCAAATAATCTATTTATTTGAGACTTATTGTTTAAATGCCATTTTAAAAGGTTATATTTTATGGGAAAAAATAGGGTTCTAACTTTCTGTCATTTGTAACATTTAGCATACTTAAAATGGAAAAAAAACTATTTTTCCTATACCCACATGGTCTTTGAAAGAACTGATGCACATAATTTCCAAATATGGCTTCGGATAAAATATGATGCCAGTAGTCTTTATGATTAACACYGTGAAATTATGGCTGTCAGGATGACAGGGGATATATCTACTTAAGAATTGTTCTACCTGAGCCTCGTTTAAGAACTTCAGCATTACTGTTCCTAAAGGAAGGACAACTCTTTAGAAAATTTCTGCTCATTTTACCTTCTCTCTAACACCTCTTGCTCCTGTAGTCAGAGTATCTGGAAAGGCTCCTCTGACATCCTCTGTTCTGAGGCAGTAGCCTGGTGATTTAGCTTTCAAGTACTAATGTCAGGAAGAACAGGACTCCTGGCCAGGCTCTGCCATTTTTCAGCTTTTTATAAGCAGTGAATCAAAATGGACCCAAGGCTTTTGTGAGGACTACATACAATCATGCTTGGAAAGGGCTTAGCACATCACTTGGCACATAGTAATTGCTTTTAGCTGTCATGTTGTCTAAGAGAATAATATATTCATTATTTCTGCATGCTCTGTGGGGAAATAATTGTGATAGGCAAGGATTAAACATGAATACAGTGAATATCCTAGAGCAAAACACAGCAAGACTACCCAAAGAAATATATACCCAGCTCAATATTTGCAGCACTCCATGAGTCTATAAACATGCAAGTAATTTTGCATTGTAGGATTATTTTTTTGACATAAGAATTAGAAAGAAGCCCAGGCACTCTCATAAAGCAATGCTAACACTTCTCTCCACTGCAAGGAGAGTCAACGATAATCARCTAAGGAAGGCAACTATTCCAGGACAATGTTAAGTAACACAATGTTGTCCCTGCTCCACATTCATTCCCTGAGGTATACCCCTGCTTGTGCTTGACATCTCTGATCCAGCTTTTTGAGATGGTAAATTATTGGTCTAAAGACCTTAGGTAACTTTAAAGTAAATCAGGAAATTGATTCCAGAGATAATTTTGAGCAAACATTGCTCTTATAGTTGTCACTTTGAATTTAAAACTGTCATCAAACCTCAAATTATTAATAATGATAATTATAATTACCACTCAGAAAGTACCTACTGTGTATTTTGTGAATACCGTCTCTGTTTCTTCTAAGGAGGCTAATAAGCAGTTATTATTATCTCTATTTACAGATAGTCTTAGAATTAAAAAAAATAGTCTATAGAAGGATGGAAATTTTGCACCAGAGAATTCCATGTTGTGGGGGGCTGTTCTGTACATCCTGGGGTGTTTAGTAGCACTTCTGGACTTTATCTGCTGGATTCTAGTAACATTCCCACTCCTAAAATGTGACAACCGAAAATATCCCAAGACACTATCAAAAGTCCTCTGAGTAGCAACATTGTTCCTTATTGAGAACAAATGTTCTGGAGAATTTATTCATAAAATGAGTTTATTTTTTTTAAGATCACATGCTAGACATTCTTTGTTGAAACTAAATCATACAGCCATATTTCAATATTTGAGAAATGATTTACTATGATAATGGTAGAAGTGAAACTTGTTAATGGGAAGTCATACTTGGCTTTCCCAAATCCTAATATGATCTCTTAAGTGTTTATTATTCTATTTTAAGCCAATATTTATGGAATCCATAAATTACTGAGTATATACCCCAAATAGCCAACAACTTGGACAGTACAAGTAAAACTGTTAATAATGTTATCTATCACAGCATCTGTTAACTTCTGTTACCAGACAAGAAGTGGTGAGAATCAAGACAAACTCGGGAATGTGAAGAACATACCTGTCCTGGGGATGGCTGGGCYTGATGGCTCGGATGAGAACCGTGCCCTTTCTCATGGTTCTCTTCGGTGGGCTGTACCTTGTTGAATTTTATTCTCAGTGACTTAAACATCTTCTCTGAAGTGGTACTGGAAAACCCTCTGTTTTTATGACCCTGTGTCTTGAGGTAGAGAAATGTACTTTGTTTTTCTTTTCATTAGTAGACAAGCCAATTAGTTGTTTAATCAGGATTTTGTTCTGGTTAATTCCTATAGGCAACTCCCTCGCTTCTCAGAGCTTCGGCTTAAAAGCAGCAAATTACTTCTGCTTGGGCGATTTGCACTCTGTTTATGAACTTTCTAGAATCAAAATGCCCCTGTGAATAATTTATAAGTGGAGGATTAAACAAAACTTCATAGTTGATTTGAGTTGTTTAAATGTGATCATGTTGCCCATTGGTTTGTTTTCTTTCTTATTACTCACCTAGCTAGCTCCATCTAATTTTAAACAAAGTAATGCATGCAAATGATTCAAAAACAGGCCGTGCATGAGGTTCTAATACGAAGCAAGTAGTTCACTTCCCTAGTGCTCACCTCTAGTAATATATGAGGTAACTGTCTTAAACATTTTTTCCCCCTATTCTGGTGGTTGATTTTCATGTTGCTGACAACCCTGCTCATTCTACTCTTGTGTATGTGTGTGCCAATTTGGACCTTAAAACTCTGAGAGGCACAGGAACAGGATCAGGAATTGTTAAGAGAATCTTTTCTTTCTACTTAGAGTCCCAAACTTTCTTGATGTTCTGTGCTCTTTGACTCTTTTTTGTTTTATAGTATATCAAGATGAACTCCCCCCCCCTTAATGAAATCACTTCTCTTGTGCACTTTTAAATTAAAACAAAACCTTTAAGAAATAAGACCACTCTCCACATCCCCCACAACCAGGGCAGCCTGCGTCAATTCAGATGCTTCTTACCCTCTGTATTTTGCCATCTGGGGTTTTGTTTTAGATAACAGTTATGCATTTCAAACTTGTTACAGTTCATATACAAGAAAAAATGAGGTACTTGTGAAGGCATGATTTTCATTTGGTTTTCAAAATTAACAAAATCACATGTCCCTTATCGATTTTAAAAACATATTAGAAGTTTTGATTTTAGATGTAGCCATTTTATCTAATAATTAACTTGATTGACTATGGGATTTAATTTATATGTCCTGGAAATACAACACTACTTATTTTTGCTTACCTTTTTTTAAAAAATATTTTTTAGATTGTTGATGGACCTTTATTTTATTTATTAATTTATTTATATGTGGTGCTGAGAATTGAACCCAGTGCGTCACACATGCTAGGCAAGTGCCTCTGACACTGAGCCACAACCCYAGCCCTTGTTTATCTTTTTTTTWAAAGAGTTCTCTTTGTTTCAAAAGCCAGAAATTTCTTTTTAGTTTTATTATTCCTTTGAAAGGAATTCTGAATAAAATATCAAATACATATGAGATCGTTTTAGGAACTTGTCGGATAATCCCCTAATCCTCAAGTTGATTGCATTTTGAATTTAAGAAGTAAACATCAAAGCCAAGTTATGAGAAAGGAAGGTGTTAACKTCAGGCTTCTGGCTAATTCTCTCTGTGTCTGGGACTCCCAATAGAAGAAATGACCTCACCAGACCCTCTTATAAACCTTCTCATTGTACTTACCGGTAGAAATTCACCAGGGAGTCCCTATCTATAAGATACATTTACCAGGACGGTTCTGGTCTGCCTAGATTGTTCATTGTAAGTAAGTCTCTGTGTGTGGATTTATCTGGCTGTGACTGGCTGGAGAATATAGTAGGTAAGCTTTGTAAGGGTTACGAAATGGAGATATCCCCAAACAGAACTTTTTGTGAGAAATACTTGAAAACTCTAGGTAAATCCAGAACTAAACATATGCCCGAATACAGGAGAAATGAATGGTTTTGGATGCTGTATTTGACAGATTTGGGTTTTTTCCTAATGAGGATGTTTTGTCTTTGCCCGATGGTGACCTGTATTCATGGAATCGTTAATGAAGTTTGGTGCTAAGACAGACCTATGATTCAGGAGTCTGTTTTGATAATTCAACCCTTAGGATTATCACAGGTCGGAATAAAAGTGATGAGGATATTTATTTAAGTTATCTCTTGAAATGACTTACAATGCCTCCAACAACCTGATTTTTTCTTAGGCAAGTGTACTAACATTGGCATTAGAATTATAGATGAGTACTTTCACTTTATTTAGGTAAGGTTTCTCAAAGCTCAGAAAATATGTGATTGTAAAGAATCCTAMAATGAAGGACGTGCATTTTGGTAATTACTGTTCACTGGAGTAGATGTGTGAGCTGAGGCAGGAGTCTTGCCTTAATCTGGAAATGACAAAATAATATTTAAGTTTCTTCTGTGAATGCTGCGCTTTTGTGTTCTGCAGAGGAATTCACCATCTAGCAAGGGAAAGGAAGAGGGGATGCTTGATCTGGATGAAGTGGCTTTCTGGGTTTTCACCCATAGCAATCTACATTTTTTTWAAAAAACCATTTTATTGCAGCTATAGATGTACAGCATGCCTCTATTTYATTTGTTCACTTTTATGTGGTGCTAAGGATCGAACCCAGGGCCTCACTTGTGCAAGGTAATTGCTCTGCCACTGAGCTACAGCCCCAGCCCAGCAATCTACATTTTTGTACAAGTTGCTTCAGTGGAGAAGTAGTGTATGCCAACATGAATAAAAGCGGTTGTTTTCAATGCAAACTTGACCCCACACCTTAAAACAAACAAACAAACAAAAAACCCTAGCCACTCCTCATGCCCTAAGGCATAATGTCTAAACAGTTTGTCAGGACATTCTGGGCCAGTACTATTGACTCTTGCCCAACTCTCTGGATTCATACGTAATCCCTATCTTGAACTCTGGGTATCTACCATAAGAAATCAAGGCAACTTGACCTACACTGCTTTTGCTTACTTCTATCTGTGTCTTGGCTCATATGTACAATTCCCTTGCTTAAAATTTTGTTCTTGTCTGTCTGGATCAAGCTAGGTGTTTCCTTCTCCTGTCTCCTTTACCACTGACAAGTGGATGTACCATCCTTTCCTTGTTTTCCTTATTGTCATTGTGCCACACAGAGACCTCTACTTCCTCATTTTTCATTTGACAGCCATTTGCAGACCTCTTTTTCCTCCCAGWGTGTAAGCTTCTTCAGGGGGAGGCTGTGCTCTGTTCACCTTCAGATCCCTTGTGCTTGGCCCAAATCTTTGCTTATTCTGGATACTCTGGAATGTTTGTTGAGTGAATGAATGATCAGAGGATGCTGGTTTAGAGTATCTCTCAACTATGGATCAAGAATAGAGTTCTCTATGACGGATGCAGGGTGTAAGAACTAGAGAAAATGTAGAAGGAACACAGGTGCTATGTCCTCATTGTCTTTTTTTTTTTTTAAAGAGAGAGTGAGAGAGAGAGAATTTTTAATATTTTATTTTTTTAGTTTTCGGCGGACACAACATCTTTGTTGGTATGTGGTGCTGAGGATCGAACCCGGGCCGCACACATGCCAGGCGAGCGCGCTACCGCTTGAGCCACATCCCCATCTCCCTCATTGTCTTTTTTTAGTAGTCATTGCTGGAAAGACTTTGTCTTGGGCTAAGTTTGGGGTAGGCTGAGAGAAGCTTACTTAAAATATTGCTGTGTTTCACAAGAAATGGTGTATTAGATACCATTAGATGATACAAAAATAGCACATAGTCATAGAATATAGAAAATACAAATCAGAAGGTACTAAAGCTATGATAAAATAAAAAGAATTACAACCTTTAGTGAAGAATACTATATTTTTATTCTGACAAGTTATTTAGTTTCAGCACAGAACTATGCATTATATTTATATTGTATTAATCTTATTTATTTTGAAGTTTTATATTAAATTTATAAATAGGTGTCAGCTTTATAGTGCTATAAAATTGTAATCAAATGAGGTTTCTATATATGTTCCAGGTTTCAACATACTTAAATACCATTCCTATGAAATCAGTGCCAGAGGAATAATAATAAAGTTTTTATTTCAATGGAGTCAGGTTTGACAAATGCTGTTTTTTGAAGGAATTTTTTACTGATGGGATTTTAGACGTTCCCCCTTGCAGGGTGATTTGGGGTGAGAAGAACTTCACTTCCTCAAGTCACAGGAGGACTGCTTCTGGGAGTGGGCATGAGTGGAATATTTCTTCTTCTTTTTTGGGGGGCAGACGATTGGAAACAAACTAAAGTAATGAAACTAACTAAAATTATATTTCCCTCTATATCCTAGAAAGCAACAAGTAATTCTATGAGATCCCTCTGGACTAAGTTCAAATAATATAAATATTATTTCAATGAGAAGAGAAACCACTGAGTCCAAAGGGAACAACTGGGTTGCCAGTGGATGACCCCAAGCATGAACTTGAAGGGAAATACCAGAAACCACCCCCCCACACACAGCCAGACCTTGACTGTTGTGGTTGTCTATTTTTAGAAGATAATAAACTAATAATATTCCTGAAAAATTCACTCCACTGAATACATTATACTTACTAAGACAGGAATATAGATGACTACATTATAAGTTTTTTTTTTTTTAATTCTAAGACTCCAAAAGTAAAAGCACTTACTTCTGTTGTCAGATCACCTGTGAACCAGGTTTCAACCCTTATCTGTAAAATGGAAGCTAGAATAATAAGCTCTGAAGGGTTTGGACAAGTTAATGAACTATCTGGTATAAATTCAGTGCTCAACAAACACTTGTTAATTAATTGAGTGAAATAGAATGTGTTTCTAAAGTTTAAGATACTGTAAAGCATGTGATTTTACTCAGCTGTCAACATTTGAGTTCTTCCTGAGTTGAATTCAGGTGCTTGACTGAATGTTGATTTCTATGGGATATATAGAGATGACTGGAACAGGATGCCTGGATTGGGCACAGGAGAGAGAGAAAGAGAGGGAGGGAAGGGGTTGAGGGAGAAGGAGAAAAAGAGGAAATAAACAATCACAATACAACCACAATGAAGACCGTGAGCAGTCCTATTATTAGTATAGAAGAGCAGGTGACCCAGGGTGTCTCCGTGTGAGTGGACTTTAAAAT